ATCCTGGTTTAAATGTTGTTGTGGAGTAGGAAGTGGAGGAGCAATTCCAGGATTTAATAAATACCTGTCCCTAATACCTGTGTGCCTTCCCACCAGCCCCAAGGGAGTGGGAATGACAAAGAATTCCAGGAGAAGAGCTGGATAAAGCTGCAGAAACTCTGTATAAATGTGCTGGGAAAAAAAACAAAACCAAAAACTGGATTGGGAAGTGAGAGCTCATGAATCTGTCACCTCTGTCACCTCTCCAGGAATGGGAATTTGCTCCATTCCCTGGATTCCCAGCAGATCCTGCTCTAATCCAGGGCTATAAATACTCCCAGTTTGCCTTCCTGGCTGACAGGGATCTCAGTTTGGAGCAGGATTTTGTGGAATTCAAAGGATTTTTTGCTCTTTGAAGCTTTGCTGGTGGAGCTGGGAGTGAGGATGACCCAAGGAGAGCTGGGAGCCCATTCCTGCCAGGATCCTGGGGTATTTCCTGCTCTGAGGGATGGGACCCACACTCGGTGCTCCAGGGCTGGGAGGAGCTTCCCTCCAACCTCCTGAGCTGGTCCATCCTCAGGGACACGGATTTTCCAGCTTTGCCAGCTCCAGGAGGGATTTTGGGAAGGAATTCCTCCCTGTGGAGGTGCTGAGGGAACAGGATGGGATTCCCAGAGCAGCTTTGGATCCTTGGGATTGTCCAAGGCCAGGCTGGAGCAACCTGGGGTAGTGGGAGGTGTCCCTGCCCTTGGAATGGGCTGGGTTTTGAGGTCCCTTCCCACCCAAACCATCCTGAGGCTCTTCCTAAATCCTGTTTAGGATCTGAGGATCCTAAATAGGATTTTTCTCCCAGTCCCACGTCCGTGATCCTGTCAGAGCAGCCCTGAGGGGTTTTGGTGTAAATCCCGAGGTTTGGGAGCTCAGAGCAGGCATGAAAAGGCTCCCTTAAAGTCCCCTGAACTCCCACTGGGTTCCCTGTAATCCCAACTCATTTTCCTGAATTATTTCTCTGTGTGTGTGGGGCCAGCTCTGCCCCTCCCTGTGCCATGTCCTGGGGGTTTTGTCCTTGTCCCCAGCAAGTCCTGGTGGCACCACAGGGCTCTGCAGGGGCATCCCTGGCACGGAGCTCCTGCTGCCACCTGGGTCCAGGGCCTGGCACCAGTTTTCCCAATTCCCAAACAAATGGATGGGTTTTCCCAATTCCTAAACAAATGGGTGGTTTTTCCCAGTTCCTAAACAAATTTATGAGTTTTCCCAGTTCCTAAACAAATGGATGGGTTTCCCCAGTTCCCAGACAAATGGGTGGTTTTTCCCAATTCCCAAACAAATTTATGAGTTTTCCCAGTTCCTAAACAATTAATGGGTTTCCCCAGTTCCCAGACAAATGGATGGGTTTCCCCAATTCCTAAACAAATGGATGGGTTTCCCCAATTCCCAAACAAACAGATGGATTTTCCCAATTCCTAAACAAATTTATGGGTTTCCCCAGTTCCCAGACAAGTTAATGGGTTTTCCCAATTCCCAGACAAATTGATGAGTTTTCCCAATTCCTAAACAAATGGGTGGTTTTTCCCAATTCCCAAACAAATGGGTGGTTTTCCCCAATTCCCAAACAAATTGATGAGTTTTCCCAATTCCTAAACAAATTTATGGGTTTTCCTAGTTTCCAAACACATTAATGAGTTTTCCCAATTCCCAGACAAATGGATGGGTTCTCCCAGTTCCCAAACAAATTTATGGGTTTTCCCAGTTCCCAAACAAATGGATGGGTTTTCCCAATTCCCAAACAAATGGATGGGTTTCCCCAATTGTCATTGCTGCTGTTCCCTGCTGTCCCCAGGGCAGAGCCACAACAGGAGCAGACAAACATCCTGAGCTTCCTGGTGCCTGGGCCATCCCTGGCTCCCAGTGCATCCCTGCTGCAGGTGCTGCTCCCTGGCTGTTATCTGGGCTGCCTTTGGCTGTTAATGATTACACAGGAGCAGTTCCCTCTGCAGAGCTGAGCCTGGCGCTGCCCTGAGGCCTCCTGCAGCTCCAGCCCTGCTCCCCTGCTTGGCTTTTGTCATCCTTGGAGAAAAGCTGGGATCATAATTTGTATTCTCTGCTCCCTGTGGGGTTTTATTCCCTTACAATTCCAGCGTGAACTGGGGGTTTCTCTGCTCGAAACAGAGGGATTGATTCTCTGCTGAGGAATGAAATCCCAGAGTCCCCACAAACCTGGCTGGGATATTTACCCTGGAGCCGGTGACGTTGGCAGGGCTGGGTTTTATCAGAGGGATAAATTAAACATTGGGAAGGGTTTTAGGGAAGCAGAGCTCTGTGACCACATCCTGGGCACTTGTTCCAAACAAAACCAGGAACTGGTGAGGTGTGAGAGTTGGGATGTGGGGAGAACATGGGGATCTCTGCACAGCTCCGTGCCCTGCCCATGGGGATGAGGCTCCTCAGATCCTCAAACCCTTCCCTCAATTCCCTCCTTTTCCTTTGCTTCTGCTGTGCTGGGGGCTCAAATTCTGGGTTTTTTTCTTTTTTTTTTTTTTTTTTTTTCCCTTTGCAGATGTCATTCTCTGCCACCTGACAAAGGAACAGAATGCAGCAATTTTCCCTAACCTAAATAGTGGCTCTGTATTTCCAGCTCCCCTGGAACTGGAATTAATTTAGTGTGTGGGCTTTTTAATTGGCTCGTTGTGGGGAGGAACAGAAGATGAAATGCTGCAGCTCTGCCTTCCTCTTCCCTTTCTTTCCTTAAGTCTTTGTCACTCTCCTTGTCTCTCACTTCCATGAGGCGCTCAGGTTATTTTTCCCTGGTTTTCTTTTGTTGAAACTCCCCTGTGCCAGCCTCAGGAGTGTCATGGATGGAGCTGCTTCCTTCACAGGGGACAAATCCCCTGTGGCTGCGGGAGGGAATGGGAGTTGTGGGCAGGGATGGGATGGATGATGGACGGACGGACATGGGGATGGATGGATGGACGGACATGGGGATGGATGGATGATGGAGGGATGGTGGAGGGATGGATGGATGGACGGAGGGAAGGATGGATGGATGGATGGATGGATGGATGGATGGATGGATGGATGGATGGATGGATGGATGATGGAGAGATGGATGAAGGGATGATGGATGGATGACTGGTGGAGGGATTGATGCATGGATCCATGGATGGATGGATGGATGGATGGACGGACACAGGGATGGATGGATGGATCCATGGATGGACGGACACAGGGATGGATGGATGGATCAATGGATGGATGGACACAGGGATGGATGATGGATGGATAGAGGGAAGGATGGACACAGGGATGGATGGATGGATCCATGGATGGACGGACACAGGGATGGATGGATGGATCAATGGATGGATGGACACAGGGATGGATGGATGGATGGATTCATGGATGGATGGACACAGGGATGGATTATGGATGGATGCATCCATGGATGGATGGATGGATGGAAGGATGGACACAGGGATGGATGTGGATGGATGGATGGATGGAGGATGGATGGATGGATGGATGGATGGATGGATGGATGGATGGATGGAAGGAAGGAAGGACGGACGCAGGGATGGATGTGGATGGGTGATGGATGGAGGGATGGACACAGGGATGGACAGATTGATGATGGTTGGGGGATGAATGGATCCATGGATGGATGGATGGACAGAGGGATGGGTGGGAGATGGATCCATGGATGGATGGACAGATGGATGGACAGATGGATGGGTGGATGGATGGATGATGGATGGATGGACGGACGGAGGGATGGACAGATTGATGATGGATGGATGATGGATAGATCCATGGATGGATGATGGATGGATGGACAGAGGGATGGATGGATGGATGGATCCATGGATCCATGGATGGATGGATGGATCCATGGATGGATGGATGGATGGATGATGGATGGATGGACAGAGGGATGGATGGATGGATCCATGGATGGATGGACAGAGGGATGGATGGATGGATGGATGACGGATGGATGGATGGACAGAGGGATGGATGGATGGATCCATGGATGGATGGACAGAGGGATGGATGGATGGATGGATGACGGATGGATGGACAGAGGGATGGATGGATGGATGGATGGATGGATGGATGGATCCATGGATGGATGGATTCATGGATGGATGGATGGATGGATGGATGGATGATGGATGGATCCATGGATGGATGGATTCATGGATGGATGGATGGATGGATGGATGGATGGATGGATGGATCCATGGATGGATTCATGGATGGACAGAGGGATGGATGGATGGACAGAGGGATGGATGGATTAATGGATGGATGGATTCATGGATGGACAGAGGGATGGATGGATGGCATCCCTCGTTCCGATGGAGCCATCTTCAGACTCAGATATGGAATTGCACAGCCTGGGAGCTGCCAGGTTTCCCCCCCACCAAAAATTTCTCTGTTGGAATCAATGTGTTCAAAGCCAGGTCTAAGTTGGTAGAAATTGGGGTTTTTTATTCCATGGATGAGCATGGAGAAAGCCTCAAGTGCCACCTGCATCATCCTCTCCTGTGAGGACTTTTAGGATTTCATCCTCCCTCCAAAAAAATCTCCAAGGCAGGTCCTGAACATATTGAAATGTAAATAAACCACCCCAAAGGACACACATTCAAATCCATTTGGAGTGGGCTGGATTCCAGCAGGCAGAAAACAGGGAAAACACGGGGAAAAAATGGGCTGCTGGAAATGGGGGAAAAGGTGTGAGGTGCTTTAAATAAATAGTTCAGGAATGGGCTGGGTTCCAGCAGGGAAAAAACAGGGAAAACACAGGGAAAAATTGATATGATGGAGATGGGGGAAAAGGTGTGAGGTGCTTCAGCTGGTGGGCTCAAACCTGGTATTGAGAGGAGCTGGAATTCCCTGCAGGATCCTTTCAATTGCTGAAGATTCTCTCTTTTATTTTATTATTTTATTTTATTTTATTTTATTTTATTTTATTTTATTTTATTTTATTTTATTTTATTTTATTTTATTTATTTTTATTTTAGGAGATTTGTCCTTTCCCCCCTGCAGCGAGTGCCCTGTGTGCCAGAGGAGCTGGGGACACCTGCCCAGGTAGGTGCCAGCAGCACCCACAGACACCCAAACACCTCCTGAGCCCCAGATCAGGGCATTTCCCACCTGGAATTTGGGTGGGAAGGATCCTAAAGCCCATCCAGTCCCTTCCTTTCCACCATCCCAGGGTGCTCCAAGCCCCTTCCAGCCACACTGTCCATGGTCACCTGTGCCAGGTGGGCACTGGGGGCTGTCCCTCCTCTGAGAGGTGGTGGCCAGGCCCTGGGGACACACAGAATTCTGGTGTGGAGCTGCTGCCTCTGGCTGCAATGATTCTTCATGAAACAATTCCATTCTTTTTCCTGGAACTGGCTGATCCTGCAGCTCCCTTCCATCCCAGACCCCTCTGTGACACCACAACATCGCCACTCTTTAGGTGGTTCAATATTCTAAATTTTAGAATTTAAAATTTTAAAATTAAAATTCTAAATTTTAAAAAAGATCTCAGAGTTTTGATAGGAAGATCCAGAGGTTCATCAGGGTCGTGAGTCACTGACCTGCCTCAGGAGCAGCTCCAGAGGGGTTCCCCTGTTCCTCCAAGCAGTGCCCAGCCAGGCCACAGTTGGTTCTTGAGCAGAAATCATTTTTTAGGAGATTCCAGCGGGTTTTTGTCCTCAGCCCCGGCTTTAGGCTGGGTTTGGAGTCTCCAAGAGAGGGCACTGTGTCCCTGGCAGTGGAGCCGTGGAGGAGCTGCCAGCCCCGAGCTCCTCATCCCAGGGAGCCGAGTAATTAACTGAGACACTCATTAGCAGCTGCTTTGGGGGCTGGACATCCTCATGTGACCGCTGCTCCTTTCCCTCCATCCCTGGCAGAGCTTTCTCTTGCCTCACTTTCCTAAAAAACAAACCCAAAAATGTCCCTTCCCTGTCCCTTTTGCCCTGATTTGTGCACTTGGGGTGTCCTTCAGGAGGGGACAGATGGGGGGTCCCTGAGAGCCTCACTGGGAGTCAGAGATTTCATCCAAACCAGGAGCAAAACAGAGAGAAAAAAAAAAAGAGGAAAACTCAGGGAGGTTTTTCTTGTTGTAATTTCTTATGGGAAATATTCGTGCTCCAGCCCAGAGCAAGTGTTTGTTCACAATTTTTTATGGAAATGTGGAAGGGGGAATTTCATTTCTCCAGCCCTGGGTGCTGAGGAGGGACCTGAGGAGGATTTGAAGCTCTGCCCTGGATGTTTTGGGGTGGTTGCCCTGGTGCCATTGTTGGATAATTTGCTATTTATAGGGGGATATTTTTAGGGATGTGACAAGTCTGGCTGTGGACCTGGATCTGGGGATATTTATGGTGCACAAAAGGGGCAGAATTGAACTTGTGGTGCTGAGGGGATTTAATGCTGGGCATCCAGAGAGACACCCAGGGGTTGGAGCCAGGGCTGGGAAAGGGCTGGAGAATTCCTGAGGAAAATGGGAAGGGGCTGGAGAATTCCTGAGGAGATGGGAAAGGGCTGGAGAATTCCTGAAGGGAAATGGGAAGAGGCTGGAGAATCCCTGAGGGAGCCTGGAAGGGGCTGGAGAATTCCTGAGGGAAATGGGAAGGGGCTGGGGAATTCCTGAGGGAGCCTGGAAGGGGCTGGAGAATTCCTGAGAGAGCTGGGAAGGGGCTGGAGAATTCCTGAGGAAATGGGATGGGGCTGGAGAATTCCTGAGGGAAATGGGAAAGGGATGGAGAATTCCTGAGGAGATGGGAAAGGGATGGAGAATTCTTGAGGGAGATGGGAAGGGGCTGGAGAATTCCTGAGGGAAATGGGAAGGGGCTGGAGAATTCTTGAGGGAGATGGGAAGGGGCTGGAGAATTCCTGAGGGAGATGGGAAGGGGCTGAAGAATCCCTGAGGGAGATGGGAAAGGGATGGAGAATTCCTGAGGGAAATGGGAAGGGGCTGGAGAATTCCTGAGGGAGATGGGAAAGGGATGGAGAATTCCTGAGGAGATGGGAAGGGGCTGGAGAATCCCTGAGGGAGATGGGAAGGGGCTGGAGAATTCCTGAGGGAAATGGGAAGGGGCTGGAGAATTCCTGAGGGAAATGGGAAGGGGCTGGAGAATTCCTGAGGGAAATGGGAAGGGGTTGGAGAATTCCTGAGGGAAATGGGAAGGGGCTCAGCCTGGAGCAAAGCAGGACCAGGACATTCCCAATGCCCACAAGTCCCCAAGAGGAGGGGACACCAGGAGGGTCCCAGGGGACACAGGACAGGAGGGAGCAGCCCCAGGGTGGGACAGCAGCAGGAATTTCCTCATGGAAATGGTTGTTAAACCTTGGGAGGAGAATGATCCCATGCTCCTGATTTTCCCCCTTTTTTAATCTCTTTGTGGTGCCATTAAGACTCTCCCACACTTTTCTGATTTTTAGGAGCAGCTTTTCATGCTCTGAGTTCTCCCCCCATTCCTGAAGTGACACAAATCCCCCTTTTTTGGGAATTTATATCCTGCAGAAAGAAATGGAGCTGCCCTGGCTCAGGAATCACTGATGGATCCCATTTCCCAGGGGTCATTAAGACATTTAATTTTTTCACTAATTGCCTGTATAAAATTGCTGATCCTGGAAGATTGAGGCCACTTGTGTAACACAAACCACATTGAAACAACCTCAGAAGTTGCTCTGAGGTGAAACAGCCACATTTAAACCCAAACCTTGCTTCCAAATCCTTCCTGTGGATATTTTTCTGTTTTCTGTGCTGAACTTTTCCCAGCTGGAAGGAAAAATGGGAATATCTCCACCCTGGGGAGTGTTTGGTCCATCAGGATTCTTTTTGTGGGGTGTTTTTAGGGATTTTAACCAACTTGATACTTAATATTTTACTGGAGAAATCCCCAAATTGTTGGAGGAATAACTCTGCAGCCTTCAGCTGCTCTGCAGAGCAAATTCCTGCTGGCTTTTCCAGCAGCACTCCAGGAATCCCAAACCTCAGCATCCCTCTGGTATTTACAGTGTCAGGAATTCCCCTCAGCTGGATCCTCTTTCACCTCCTCTTCCCCTTCCACGCAGTTCTTGGTGTGCATTTCAAAATTCCTCCCATTTTTGGGATGTTCTTGGTGTGCATTTCAAAATTCCTGCTGTTTTTGGGATGTTCTTGGTGTGCATTTCAAAATTCCTCCCAGTTTTGGGATGTTCTTGGTGTAGATTTTAAAATTCCTGCTCTTTTTGAGATGTTCTTGTGTGTATTTCAAAATTCCTCCCGGTTTTGGGATGTTCTTGGAGTGCATTTCAAAATTCCTCCCATTTTTGGGATGTTCTTGGTGTGGATTTTAAAATTCCTGCCATTTTTGAGATGTTCTTGGAGTGCATTTCAAAATTCCTCCCATTTTTGGGATGTTCTTGGTGTGGATTTTAAAATTCCTGCTGGTTTTGAGATGTTGGTGTGGATTTTAAAATTCCTGCCCTTTTTGAGATGTTCTTGGGGTGCATTTCAAAATTCCTCCCATTTTTGGGATGTTCTTGGTGTGGATTTTAAAATTCCTGCCCTTTTTGAGATGTTCTTGGTGTAGATTTTAAAATTCCTGCCGTTTTTCAGATGTTCTTGTGTGCATTTCAAAATTCCTCCCATTTTTCAGATGTTGGTGTGGATTTTAAAATTCCTGCCCTTTTTGAGATGTTCTTGGTGTGGATTTTAAAATTCCTGCCCTTTTTGGGATGTTCTTGGTGTTCATTTCAAAATTCCTCCCATTTTGAGATGTTGGTGTGGATTTTAAAATTCCTCTCGTTTTTGGGATGTTCTTGGTGTGGATTTTAAAATTCCTGCAGTTTTTGGGAAGTTGGCAGTGATAGAAGAGATCCCCTTTGGATCCTGGCCGAGGCTTTGGGCTGCAATAATTCAATAATTCCATTAAACCTCAGGAGCAGGGAAGGGGATTGTCCCTGGTTTGATCTGGTTGGAATTGCTGCAGGCATTTGCTAAAACTGGAGGATTTAAATACAAATTTCTTTTTTTTTGTTGCTGTTTTGCCCTCTAAAATGAAGAAAAGGTGTTTTTTTATTTCTTTTTAGATGAAAGGAAGCTGGAAAGTCAAAACCATCCCTGGAGTACCCTGAGCAGGAGGAGCTGCTGCTCCAGCACAGTTTGTTCCATTAGCATGGGGACATTTTACAAATCTCATTTTCCAAACAACTCCTGGAAATTGGCATCCCAGAAGCAAAGAACTCTTTTAAAAATAGCTCTGAAATGAGCCCTGTTGTTTCCATGGCCCCTTGTCCTGAGGATGCCTGAAACTCTGGAGGGCTTTGAGGAGATTGTGCCCAGCAGAATCCCCAAACATTTCCTGAGGAATGAGCTCCTGCTGCTGGAATGCTGCAGGGTTTATTTTAAACCTTTTTTTTCCCCCCTATTTTGCTCAGAGGAAAAGCAATTCCCGAGCAGGAATGCCTGAGGTGGTTGGAAAAAAATCCTTTGGAATATCCCAGGTGGGGAAATGTGTGCAGCTCCTTTTCCTTGGATCCACATTTGAACTCCACTTCTGCAATAATCTGATTTATTTCCCCTGGTCTGGAATTTCACCTTTCCCCCCCCCCCCCCCACACAGATCCACCTGTGCACAGCTGTGTGAAATCCCAAAATTCCTGAGCCTCCCAGGGGCGGGATTTGCTTTTGGAAAGATTTTAAAATGCCAGGTGTGGTCACTCAGGTGCTGTGAGCTCAGATCCCTGGGGGTGTGAGTGAATCCTGCAGGCCCTTTTTGCTTCCCTCTCCTCCAATTCTTCCCTTTTTAAAACTTCAAAAAATATTCCAGAGCCAGTTGCCAGCACAGACTTCCCAGTGAACTTCCAACAGTCAATGAGTGCTGGCTGCAGCAGCTGTTCCCAAAAAAAAACAACCCAAAAAAACCCCAAAAAAACCCAACTGGAAAAGGGCACAGGGAAAGAAGGATCTGCTCATCCCTTGGAGGAGCTCCCAGGGAAAAGTTCACGTTTGAAGCTCTGCCCTGGATGTTTTGGGGTGGTTGCCCTGGTGCCATTGTTGGATAATTTGCTATTTATAGGGGGATATTTTTAGGGATGTGACAAGTCTGGCT